AACAAAACAGTCAACCCTAGCAACGATTGACAAAACGTCAACACTCAACAAGGATGCCGTTTTATATTATATTGTTTGTGTTCTACTTGTCAACGTGTGCCTTAAAGTGCCGATCAATCCAAATTTGAAAAAAATACATTAGTTAAGGCCCAACCCTAATAAAATATTACCATAAACGAACGATAATCCAAATGATTGAACTATTCCACAAATGGTTTGGATGATACCCCGAACACGTCGTTAAGCAAGTTAACCATAACATTTTTATTGGGGAAGCGCAATGACAGCGGAAAGCCCGATCTGAGTAATAGTACGCTCAGACTACAGAGTTATAACATGTTATAGCGCTATCTTGATGGTGGTTTCTGTGTTGCAATTATTTGACAACCGTTATAACATGTTATAACCATAGAGGTAACTCTAAGACCACTGGGTCCCGAAGAAAATCATTATTATTTTTGGCTCACTCAGTACCAGAACAACGGTCCCAAGCAGTCCCAAGCTATTTCACTCACCTCTGCATGTTCTGCATGAATCCACACACCCCTGATGTTATCTGTCAAACTTTCATAGCGAATCAAAACAAACATAGTGTAGTAATAGAATTTCAACTAGAATGGGGTACGCCATAGAAGTACTTGGGACCAATAGGCTACTCAAGCAGTGAATCAATTTAAAATCGTTAGTTTCCACCCCCTGTTATAACTCTCCAGTCTGTACAGCGTTTAAGCCTACTTGTCGGATTGAACACTAGTTAGAACAAGGGGTAATCAACTCTGTACATTGTGCCGAAACACATCGTGGCACACTGATCGGCGCGTCATGACACATGATGACAAGTACGACACAAAATATAATATAAAATGGCATCACTGTTTTGTGTTGACATTTTGCCAATCGTTCCTAAGGTTTACTTCTTCGTTTATTTCAAAGGGATTTTTTTGTCAGCGCTATTTTCCAGCGAAATTGTCGCCAATCATAATAAGAGATTGTATAATTGACGAGACTCTCTTTGTCCTTATGCCTTCTACAGAAAGTCCACACGGCTTTTGAGAGATATCCATAGTTTCAGGGAAGTCCAAACAAACTAGTCAGAGTCACCACGCCCCGCAGAATAGACCAGAATTAACTAGAATTAAGTATTAACTCGATGGCCATAGGATCCGCACCGAGAGTCAACTGTATGGGTAAGGGGCATTGCAGCGATAATGTACGGTGGCAACAACACCCCGGTGCCGAACGATCCTACCATTCTTCAGATGTATCTGCAATCGCAGAACACACCGGTACGATTGATGGTTCACCAATCAGTCAGCCGTACAGCTCATTCTATGGACTGAACTCGGATTCGATTGACTGTGGAGGTCTCTTTGCGCTTTTTCGCAACTGTTAGCATAACCGATGGCAACAGCAACATTAAGAAAGATGCTGCTAACAGAATTGTGAAGGTAACCACACCGGAGGTAACAGAGCCAATCTCAATCGCGGTCATAATGAACGCAATCGGAACCGGTACCAGTTTTTAGGGAGATTAATATGCGATTCCGCCATGACCAAGGATAACAAATATGAAGGAACAACAGGCAGATACAAGGAGGTAATCATCAAACGACTGCAACCAGTATCGAGATTCTGGCCCGACATTTGGATAAACCATGGACGAAGTAGTTTGACCCCCCATAAAAGGGGGGAGGGGGCAGTCAGACGAATTTAGTACCTAACCACGAGTGTTGACACTGGGAAGCTACTGCAGGTCTATTGCTGCTACAACTACCGCCGGTGGGCATTTTAGGTCGAGTCCTTCCTATTTTTCAGATTGTAGTATTGCCCTAGTAGCATGATGATATTGCAGACAAGATTTATCTTCCACTTGCCGGTTGGGTACTTGGTTTTGGCAAACGTCTGCCAGAATGACGCACGGTAGAGAACTGTCTTCTCTATGATGGACAGCTTCTGCCATCAGTCATCCTTCTCCGTCTCGCGGAGGGGCTACTCCTTGAAGCGGATGACAGGCAACTAGCTCGTTGAATATTATCACGACTTTTTTTCCATCCTTGACTTGAAAATGTAAACACACATCTCAAAAGTCATAAGTGTAGGGTTGCCAAACTCATTGGTTACTGAGACTGATAGCTTGATTGTCACACTTCGGCACGTTCAGCAAAACGCTTCACCTAGCTTTCGGCACAGATTGGGATGTTGAATACCCCTTGAGTTAGAATCAAATCGACTTTGGTTAGGCATCTTGATATCATTTATGACAACTCAAGCTTTTGGCCCTTTTTCCAGCTCTATCTAGAACGGTCAAACTTCCGTTCCCGTTCCGCTTCCGCTCACATTGCGTTTGGGCCTTTATTAACCATTGGCGTACACTGAAAAAAGTTATCACTTAGCTTCTATTAGGAACGCACTTAATATTTTTCCAATAACAAAAATAATGATTGTTATCTGAATATCACATAGCAAAAAAATTCTATATGAGAAATCATATAGATTTCATTGGACACATAACGTTCATGTGATTTAGTGGTGCAGTTTCCAATTATTGGATCACATGAAAGTTATGTGAAATTCACATGGATATTTTCCACTGTTTATGTGATTTATTTTATGACTGTAGGGGTAAAAGGGGCATAGTGAACAGATGAGGCATAGTGAGCATCCCGTGCACCAACTTGGACTTCCAGTCGTTCGGAACAAATTGGTTGGTGGTAGGATCAATATCATAATGATATTGAACCTACTGCCAGTTGATTTGTTTCATGCAGTTAGAGATCCAGGGCCAAACTACGGGATACTCACTATGCCCCACCTGTTCGATATGCCCCTCCTCCCCCTAACTAAAATTTTAAGATTTCTTTATTAAAGAGAGTTTTAGCCGTGGGCTGGTTCGGCTCTGATTGGCGTAACTAAGGAAAAATCCTAGGGGGGCTAAATTTGTTTTTCGTTGAGGTCAACAACAACTGTGCCACATTTGATCGAATTTGGTTACGATCTGGAACTGCGGAAGAAATTTAAAATGTATATGGGAAAATGTATGGGGAACGTCATGCTTGTCAAAAATTCAAAAATTAATAAGTTTTTACCAAACTTGCGACTAAGATTGAGAAAACAATGCAAAACAACTAACAACTACAGTATTTCTCAGAAAGTATTTGAGTATTTGAAACCTTTCATAGCTCTGAAATCTCTAAATAATTATCTCACACGGCCTCGATCGACTCAAAATTGAATGGATTTTCACTTTAAGACGCAAAATGTAAGTCACCCATAGACTGAGTAAAAATTTACTCAGTCTATGAGTAACCTGCGTTTTTACGAATTTGAGTGACCGAAGCTCAAATTTGAGTTGGTTTAATCGACAGTGCAGAACTTCCACGACTTTTTCAGTTCCCAGAACACCAATTAAAGGCCACCAATTCGTCTTCGAAATCTTCTCAACAGGTCTAAAGTTTGCTGATCCTCTCACAAGCACTTTTATGATCTTCGAGGTGCACTGAACCTGTCTCTTAAACAAATCAGAAGTTCTTCAAGCTTCGCAGGTTCTCTTTCAACTAGCTCCCTGATTACTTAGATTGTTTTCAGATAATTTCAGAGAGCTTCATAGCTAAGAGAAAGAGGAGACAACTGGCTTCTTACTCTTTTACCTCTATCTCTATCTCTATCGATATATATCTCGATCTCTATCTTATGCTCTTCAAATCGGTCCATCACGAGATGGTTCGCGTTTGACAGAAAAGTGGTTCGTTTTCGCCCCCGTATTGTCTCCTCTTCCTCTTAGCTTTGTAGAAGTCAAGCTCGCGAGCATCGTGATTTTTTTGCATCACTGGTTGGGCGTACAAATAGCAATAAAAGTGGTATTCCATAAAGTTTAAGAAGTCACTATTGTCCCATTATGAATGAATATATACCTCTATATTATAAGGTGCTTTAATTACAAAAAATTATAACAGATTTTACAGATAAGTTTGTCTTTTAAGTTTAATAAATAATATGGCATCTTCCGAATTCAACAACCCTTTTTTTTGGGTACAAAGTAGTTAAGTACCATTATACACTTTTCAAAATTAATCTTCAAAGAATACAGAATGGAAAATGGATTTTCAAAACTGCAAGTGAATGAATGACCCGGCATGTTAATTGCTTAAAATTCTAATAATTAAACTGATATTCTATATCATTATCAATACTTTGTCCAATAAACTGAGTAGCATTTTTCATTTTACTAAAATGCTGTTCAGCAAATAAATTTCTTAATTTTGAAATTTGATTGATCACAATATGCAGTTACTATTCCAGTGATACCTAACAGTTAGGCAGAAACATTTCAAATTCAAACGTTAAATGATTCTTTTAAATATTTAAATTAAGTATTAAATTTATAGCGAATTTGTTTATTATCGGGGTTGGAACCAGTTCCAACCCAGTGCGAAACCGAACTTTTTGTCAGTGCGAACCGTAACCTGAGGTAGGTTTTAAAAACAAACGATCAAACTGACGGTTGTCAGGAAGCAAGCAGAGTCGATCTTGATACCCGATCCAGGTTGGAACTGAATAATAAACAAAATCGCCATTAGTTATTCAATACACGGTCGATGAGATCGACTAAAAATTGATTAGGTTTTCACTCAAAATGGCAAAAACGTAGTCAAATTTTACTCGCCTTTCCTAAAAAATCTGCTCAGTCTAGGAGTATACCAATAGACTGAGGGAAATCTCTCTCAACTTTTCTCATATAGGAAAAGTTTTTCCTGAAATTTCTAGGAACATTTTACTCAGTCTATGAGTAAACTATGTTTTTTTTTAACGAATTTGAGTGAACGAAACTCAAATTTAAGGCGGTGTAACTTCTTCTTCAATTTAAGGTGAACAATGTTTTAAATAATCTTTCAAAAATCAATTTTCAGTATTGCCAATGCATCAAATGATTTGTAAGATTGGATTTCGGCTGATCTGCGACCAACAAAATCCATTTTCGGCCATCAAAATCAAAAACTTACCTTCGATTAACTCCCGACGGCGACGGACTGTTGTTCAGAATCTTCAGCGGACTGGCCGGGGGCGTCTGCAGCTTGGGAGATTTCGTTGCGATGGCCGCTTCGGCTGCCAACTTTTTCACCGGTAGCTCCTTCTGCGGGGGCTGCGGCAGCTGCGGTTCCGGCGGAGGCTTCTCGACGGGCTGTTATGGAAAAGAGTGGATGAACTAAAGGAAGCGAATTTGAAGCATTATTGAACTACTTACGGGAGTCGGTTTCTCCGGTTCCTTCGAGAGTGCCCGCTTGATCTTGGCAATCTCCGTTCGGATGTGTTTGATTTTCTTGGACCGCGTCAGGGCGTGTTTGATGCCGCCGGCCTTGGTGACCTGTTGCTGCAGCTTTTCGATCAGTTCCTGACTGGGTGGATCCTGCGCCAGGAGGTTCAGTTCCGCTTCGATGTCAATGGCAAGTGAATCTTCGGTTCCCTGGATAGCCGGTAGCGGTTGGGGTTTCTCCAAAAGACCGGCTCGTTCCAGTTCCTTGCGAATCGTGCGGAAGGTGATGGTTCCGGCGTCTTTCATTTTGACTCCGGCGCGGTAGAACATGGTGTCCTTGTTGTTGTAGGTCAAGCAATTGTTTGCCATCAGCATGAAGTCGGCTTCCAGGTCTTCGATGCGGGTGTAGTAGCCGGTTTTGAGCTTCTGTCGCATCGTTCCCAGATCCATTGGGTGCTTGACGATGGTCAAATAGTCAGCGACTTCCTCGGTGTCGACGGGTTCGCGGAAAATTTCTTGGACATCCTTCGCTTCCAGTTGATCGAGGATCCGGTGAAGGACGGCCTCGATCGGATTTAATTGAGCCATGACGCACTGCTCGTTGGTTTTGATCAGGATCAACTTGAGCTTCTCTCGCTTCCGGACCAATTCGCAGAGGAGACGTGCTCGTTCCAGATCCTGGCGGAGACATTGCCAGTATTTCAGTTGCTGGTAGAGTTCTCGGGCATCCGGGGAACCATCGCTCTTGTCGCGTCCTCCCGGAGCGCCTTGAGTTTGTCCCTGGCTCTGCAGTCGTCGAAGCAACGGGACTCCATTCCTGTGCTGACGCTTGAGAGTCCAATAAGCGATCAGACGTTGGATGAATTGTGGCTTCTTGGCAATGTTGACAAGCGTTGAAATTTCCTCGATTCGATTCGGAGGAATAGTCGGGATCAGAATCACCGGAGCTGAGGTTCGCTTGATGGCCAACATTTTACGGGCCTTCTTCATTTTTTCGTGGCAAACTTCTCTCGGATCGGTTTCTCCTCCGGAATCCCCTGGAGAAGAAAGCGCATTGATCGGAGTATGGGCGTCGCAGTAGGCGGTCTTCTGGACCACTATTGGGTGGGTATCGTTTCCGCGGACTTGATCCATTCGCATGCATAGCCCAGCCTGTTGGGCGCAGGTTACATGGAATGCAGCGTAACAGGAGCTTCGGTTGCACTGGATACAAGCTCCCATGCCCTTCTGTTTGCAAATGTAGCAAACCAATCGCCATCGAGCCGGAGGAATCGTTTCAATCGAATCGATCGGTTCCAAAAATACTGTATTGGCAAAACGAACCTCCGGGATCCAGAGAGCACAAACGACATGCGCCCACTGGTTCCGATCCGTCTGTTTGAATGCTCCACCCGTGTTGGGACACAGGACGCAATCTACCGAGCGGCTGGGACTCTGCAGGCATCGTCTACAGAGCCATTGACCCTCAGGGATGTACGGAACTCCGTAGCAATCTTGATGTACCGCCAAATTACACATATCGCAAAATAGGATGACGTTCGTGTTCTGACATTCGCCATCCATGCAAATGCAACAGACGGCATCGTCGTCCACGATGGCACCGTTTTGACCGGTCACCGCCGCTTGGAAGTAGGATTCCTTCTCCAGGCGATCCATCAGCAGTTCCAGCGAATCTACCGGCACCGGACAGAGATTCTGCTGCGTTCTGCGCTCGTTCATTATGGCCAACCAAGTCGTGTCCTCCTCGTCCACGTCGTACTCGACTTCTCCATCCAGCTCTTCGGTGCTCTTCTCGATGAACCGAATGTAGGCGTTCGGCCGGGCAGGAGCGTCATGGATAGTGTATTCTTCAATTTCTTTGAATTTGCCTGAAAAAATTATATATTTTTTTAAATCCATTGCCCAACTTCACCGATCTTCAGAGTACTTACCTTGCGGAAGTTTAACTTCCGGCTCCGTCGGTGGTGGAACCACGAATACCTCCCCATCCGGATCGTTCCACTTTTTCTTCAATTCATCCAATCCTACCAATTCAAACTCTTCGTCTATGGAAAGATTGATATTCTTCCCGCCAAACTCGATCTTAATCAATCCTTCCGGTTCGAGATAGGTCAACGATTCCCTCGCCGATGCCGCAGGGGTCTTGTTCTTCGGTGTCACCGCTACCTTCTTCTTCTGACTCCTCTGTTTGTTATTGTTCGACGGACGACTGGGTGTCTCCTTGGCCACCGCGCCTTTCCCAGCTTTCGTCTTCCCACTCGATCCGGGCTTCTCATTGTCCACTGCTTTCGGCTCACTCTCTGCCACACCATCACCCTTTCCATCCTCACCAGCACTGGGAACCGTTGCAGTCTTTGTCGTCACTTCCGCTACTGGCTGTACTGGAGTTTGCACTTCCGCAGCATTCTTCGACGGTCCCGCTACTGTCGCCGCCGCCGCCGCAGTCGACGGAGACGGATTGTCGTGATCGTAGTTGTTCAGATGGTACTGCAACCCGATGACGGATTTGTACTTTTTGTCACACTTGGGGCACCGGAACGGGGGGCTGTTTTTGTTCAGGGTTTTAATGTAGTCCTGCACGTCGAAATCGAGACCCATTTTCACGGGGAATCTGATCGGAAACCAAGCAAAACAGCGCTTCTTTTTCCGCAAAGTTTACTTGTTTGTGTTTACACTTTTCGCTTCGTTTTTCGGTGTGATTCGCGCGATGACTGATGACGGTAGAAACGTCAAAAACTGTCAGCGAGAGAGAGTGAGGGGTGATGCGTTAAATAACCGACATTTTGCTCTCACCTTGCTGCTGGACATCTTGATACCGGTTTACTGTCAAAATCAGCTGCGATTGTGTTTTTGTGATTATGTGAAGATTTTGAGTTGCATTTCATAACGAAAATATTAAATTACAAAGTATGGATAGAGCAGAGCAAGCACCCCACCACGAACATGAACAGCGCAATGCGTTGGTAAGTTTGTATTTCATCGTTGTTAGTAAATTAATTCTAAAAACCAAACGTCCATCCCCTGTATAGAACTTTCAATTCTCGCCGGAGGAGCTGAAGGTGCTTCAGGAATGCAACCGGGAGGCATTTTTCCAGCGTTCGATGCCGTTAGGAACGGTTTTTGGCCTGGGGACGTACTACGCCATTCAAAGGGGGTTTCTGAAGGTAACTCTTCCGTGGTAGTTTGTTATTCGTAATCAAAATGACCATCAGTTGTTTTCCTTATTTTTAGCCTAGTCTCCGCTTCGGTGCCGGTCCGAAAGTGTTCGTTGGCATCACGCTGGGCTACTTCATTGGTAAGCTGAGCTACCAGAGCAAATGTGCAGAGAAGATCATGCGCATTCCAAACTCCCGTCTGGCCGACGTGATCCGCCAGCGACGTCAGGGATCCAGCGCCGGCGAACGACTGTAAGACTGAAGTCCGTCATCTAAATCACTATAAGTTTCAACATTCATTTCCCCCCACAGGCTGCCCGACCAAGGCTTCGGTGCCGGCAGCATGTTGTCCCCATTCGGTCCGACTAGTCCGAGCGATGGTGTTACGGACCAACACTTCCGCAATCGCGATTCGATCAACATCGACGTCACTACTCCAAGCTTTTCCGGGCTGGACGACAATGCTCGGCCATCGATTGATTGTACTATCAGAGGCAGTAAATTCTTACCTAGATCTCAAACCTTAGCCCATTCTTTACTTTCAGCCAACCGAGCATTTGATGAGGACCTGCAGCTTCCGGCCGTTCCACCACCGGTGACGAAATCCTACGAAGAGCTGCGACGCCAGAATCGGGAGGAATACATGCACCGGCAGCAGGCACCGTATCGGCCACCGACCATGTTGGAAGATGCGCCCCCGATCAGACGGGAGTCACTGCCGGGCCCGAGGATGGACGATCATCAGCCGCAGCAGCCAGCGCAACCACATCAACCGGGGCAACCGCAGATGAAGAACAAATATGGCGATCCTTGGGCCCAGTAGGGAGGAATATGTCTATTATTCTGCAATTGTATCCTTAATTGGCGCGCAATAAAAAACTACTAGTGTTTGTGAAATTGTATGACAAAAGTGGCGTTGCCTTTATAAATACCATAAATACCAAGAACAGTGGTTCAAGAGCAAATTTCCGATGAAAACCAAAAGAGTAATGTTTTTTTTTTCTGTTCGGGACATAAAACCACTGCTGTTCAACGAAGGCACCAGCAGCACTTTTCGCAGAGATGCCCGGGAATCCATTATCGACGTCACTTTCTGCAGTCCGTCGCTGGTGACAAACATGAATTAGAGAGTGTGTGAAGGATATATTAATCCATAGCGACCATCAGGCGATACGATATGGCATCGGCCAACGGAATACTAGGGCAGTACGGAGGACGAGAAAATGCAACCGGAAGTGGAAGACGAAGGCTTTTGATAAGGAGCTTTTCGTTGAAGCACTCCGTGAGGACAGGGACCCCGTGGATTTGAACGTGGGCGAGCTGACAGAAACGTTAGTGAGAGCATGTGACATGACCATGCCGAGGAAACTGGAGCCAAATAACAGCCGGCGTCCAGCTTACTGGTGGAACGAGGTACTTAGCACCCTCCGCGCTAGTTGTCTCAGAGCCAGAAGACGTGTTCAGAGAGCAAGAACAGAAGCAGACAGAGAGGAACGAAGAGGAGTGTTTCGAGCGGCCAGGGCCGCACTTATATTGGGCTGAGCTAGCAGGTTAAATAATAACACCGGAATTAATTGGTTTGATAATAGAAGTAAACTGATTTATTAAACACATGTAAGTTCGAGAGAAGAAACGATAATCAGCAAAATGGGCGATCGCAGTAGAAAAGCGTCTCTCATTTTAAGTTGTGCTTTCGCTATGACAGCACGCAAACAAGCTTTGCGCGTCCTCAACAATTGCCAGCATCAAAACCAAGCATCGAAGAAAATTTCAATAACTAGATCCGGCCCAACGGTTTGGTAAGTACGTCCGCTACCATCTCTTCGGTCGGACAGTAGACCAACTCAAGAATCTTTCCATCACAAAGTTCTTTGACGTAGCATTCCCTAGTCTCGATGTGCGTCGATCGACAACTGCTTCTTTCCGATCCGACAAACTTAATGCAACTTTGGTTGTCTTCCATTATTTTCACCGGTTCCATCACAGGTTCGCCGAATTCCTCCATCAGTTTTCGAAGCCATACTGCCTCCTGACTTCCTTCACTTAGAGCAACGTACTCGGACTCCATCGATGACAAAGTCACGCAGCCCTGTAAACGACTTGCCCAAGACACTGCAGTGCACTGCTGCACCAGCATACAGAAAAACGATGCCTGTCGTTGACTTCCGAGTTTTAAAATCACCGGCCCAGTCTGCGTCGGAATACCCCATCAATTTTTCTTCCGGATCTCCGTACTGCGGACGCCAATGTTTCGTTGCCTTCAAGTATCGGACCACACGCTTGGCCGCTAGCCAATCCTCATCCCGTGGTGCACTAACACTTCTTCTTAATACTAAAGCACTTACTGCAATGTCCGGCCTTGCACAGACTGCAATATACAGTAGAGCTCCAACTAGGCTTCTGTATTTCGTCACATCCTCCAGAAGCGGACTCTTGTTGTCAGCCTTCGTGAATCCTTCTTGCATTGGAGTCTTCGCAACCTTTGCGTCACGAAGTCCAAATCGCTCAACCACACGGTTGATGTAGTCTTCAAGAGAGATGCTGTACTTCCCTTCCGATCTGGTAACCTCCACACAGAAAAAAAAGTTGTTGAATATTACATCCAAACTGCTGCAACCAGGTCAATCCATCGGTTGTGTAATATAACGTTGTACGATGTACATCGATTTTGCGAACAAAATTACATCCATTGATGTAAATTTGTATCTGCTTTTTGCTATTACATCATTATTTCATACATCAGCTTGAATTACGTTGATCGATATTACATTTTTTTTTGCTGTGCAGACTCAGAAAGTAGTTCAAATCACCGAGATCAGTCATCTCAAATTCCTGTCTCAGTGCATTATCGATTTACTCTATTTCAGCATCGCTTTCACTGCCAACCAGAATATCGTCCACATAAACCAGCAAGTAGACGCGCTTTCTGTTGACGATCTTCGTGTAGAAGCATGGATCAGCCGTACCTTGCTCGAAGCCTAGTCCTAGGAGAACGGAATGTAACCGTGGTTCCAACAGCGGGCCGACTGCTTCAACCCGTAGATGCTCCTCCTCAAGCGACAGACCAACGTCTCCTTGCCTTGGACTTCGAACCCAGTTGGCTGCTTCATGTACAGCTCCTCTTCAAGTTCTCCGTACAGATAGGCCGTCTTTACGTCGAAATGCTTCAGGGTCAGGTTTCGCTTACTCGCAACGGCCAGCAAAGTCCTCAGCGTAGTTTGCTTTGTCACAGGGGCAAACACCTCATCGTAGTCCTGTCCGAACGTTTGACTGAACCCCTGAGCTACCAACAGCGCCTTATACTTCATCAACTCGCCAGTTGCATTCCGCTTTAGCTTAAATACCCATCGGCATCCGACAGGCTTACGACCTTCAGGTAACTTCACAAGATCCCACGTTCTATTAACAGCATGTGATTCGATTTCAGCTTCCATAGCACTTTTCCACTCGATCCGTTGCTTGCAGCTGACCGCTTCCTTAAAAGTGCTTGGTTCCTTCAGCTCCTTGGACGTAAGATCACCGACTGCAAAGATCTCTTCGATTTAGTCTTTTCGGTGCAACTCCTTTGCTCGACCTCGTTGAACGCCTAGCAATCTCGTCCAAAGGAAAACCTCTAAATGACGATTACCCTTCAGATGCATTCTCGTACAACGTGGTATCCAAGCTCGTATCCAAGTTCGAATCCGCTACTTCATCATCGCCAGGATCTGAATCCGTTTCGGTGTGTGTATCCACTGGTGGATTCTGATCGCCACTCGATCCCAGTGATACTAACACCATTCGATCGTCCGTACCTTCTGCAGACGATTTCTTCTTGAGCGACTCCGATTTCTTTCCTGACGGCTACAGGATCACTGGTTGTTCACCTGAACATTCTTCGACCCGCGTTGAATAAAGGGTGATACGGTCAAAATTTGGTCAAGGGAAAACGCGTGTAAATCGGTGAAATCGTTTATTTAAAAAATCAAATTAAATTTCTTTTTCAAGTTCAATTAGTATAAAATTCAGGAAAAATATCCAGTTAGGCTTCCGCTTTTCCAAATCCGAATTGCCGGGCCTTACGCTTGACCCCTGCCATCAGATTTTGTACAGCCACCTTGTCCACCTTCTTCGCCGCAGAAAGCCAGTTTGGCTTGAACTGCTGCTCGCCCTTAGCAGTTTTTTTGGTCTTCTTTAGGTTCCGCTTGACAATAGCCCAGTATTTCTCAATTGGGCGGAGCTCTGGCGTGTTGGGAGGGTTCTTGTCCTTGGGAACCACCTGCACGTTGTTGGCGGCGTACCACTCCATGGCCTTTTTACCGTAATGGCAAGATGCCAAATCCGGCCAAAACAGTACGGAACAACCGTGTTTCTTCAGGAAAGGCAGCAGACGTTTATTCAAACACTCTTTCACGTAAATTTCTTGGTTGACAGTCCCGGAAGCTATGAAAATGCTGCTTTTCAAGCCACAGGTACAGATGGCTTGCCAAACCAGATATTTCTTTGCGAACTTTGACAGTTTCATGTGCTTGAAAACATCTGCTACCTTTCCCCTTCCTTTTGCCGTATAAAACTCCTGTCCCGGAAGCTGCTTGTAGTCGGCTTTGACGTAGGTTTCGTCGTCCATTACCACGCAGTCAAACTTCGTCAGCATCGTCGTGTACAGCCTCCGGGATCGCGCTTTGGCCGTCGTATTTTGTTTATCATCGCGATTTGGAGTCACTACCTTCTTGTAAGTCGATAGTCCGGCTCGTTTTTTGGCTCGATGCACGGTTGTAGACGATACACCCAGCTTATTTGCGGCATCTCGGAGAGAGAGGTTAGGGTTTCGCTTGAAACTACCGGCAACTCTCTTTGTCGTCTCAGCGGCTTCCGGTTTTCGATTTCCCCCCGATCCAGACGTCCTGGCTGTCGACAAACGTTCCCCAAACACTTTAATTACATTTGTAACGGTTGATTTGGCAACTTTTAGCGATTTTGCCAACTTTGCGTGCGAGTAGCTCGGATTTTCGCGATGCGCGAGCAAAATTTTGATACGCTGCTCTTCTTGCTTGGACGGCATTTTGACAACTGAAGAGTGAATTCCAAAATCAAAATAGGAGCAACATTCTACACACACACACCTTCAAAATGAGGGGTGTTCAGGTTTTTTAAATGCAAAATTGAAAGAAATACGTCAAGTTGATATTGACCAAATTTTGACCGTATCACCCTTTAGCACAAGCTACCAAACTCCAAAAATTTGGCATCCCTGCTGATAGCGATCCAGTCATTTTCCGTATCCAGGAAACGGTATGCTTTTCGCCCTTCCGTGTATCCAACGAAGACCATCTTCGTTGCCTTCTTGTCCAGCTTCCACCGCTTCTCCTTGGGCACATGAACGTAGGCTTCCGATCTGAATGTTCTCAAATGTGCGTAAGATGGCTTCTTTCCATGCCACAGTTCATACGGCGTCTTTTCAACAGTTGACGTTGGCAAACGATTCTGCAGATAGTTTGCAGTACAAATCGCTTCGCCCCAGTATTTCTTGTCGAGACCCGACTCCGCCAACAAACAACTCACCATCTCCACTTCATACCGGTTCTTACGTTCCGCCTTCCCATTCTGCTGCGGTGAATAGCGTGCCGTTTGCTGCAGAATAATACCGTTCTCAGCCAGGTAGCTCCTTAAAGATACACTACACAGCAAAAAAAAAAAAAACAAAAAAATGTAATATCGATCAATGTAATTTAAGCTGATGTATGAAATAATGATGTAATAGCAAAAAGCAGATACAATATTACATCAATGGATGTAATTTTGTTCGCAAAATCGATGTACATCGTACAACGTTATATTACAAAACCGATGGATTGACCTGGTTGCAGCAGTTTGGATGTAATATTCAACAACTTTTTTTTCTGTGTAGAATA